CCCCGGGGGGGGCCCATGCCCCCCCCCCCCCAGTCGCCTGCAGCTTCAGTAGAACCAAAGCTCTCGTCCGATTTTACTGTAACTCATTGCTTTAAGTTCTGTGATAGCATAACCCGCTTCTGAAGGACAGCGTGAAGCATTTTCAGAGCCTTCAGCTCATCTAAAATGTACTGCTAGGAATGAAACTTCTTCCAAACTTCATGCGTACTTAAGCTCTTTTTAAAGTGAAGAAAGTGTAATGCTCCACCTATTTCCTCCACTTCCACAAACCAGTGAACTCTTGGAAAATGGCACGCACCCAATTTACAGTACGTACAACTGTTAGCTGGTACTAAAAATGTTCAATGAGACGTTCTTTGCACACTTACAAAAAAATCCATCACCTTGCCCTATGGTTGCGTAGGAACTGCACCTTTTCATCTGAGAGCCAGTCTAACGGTAGAGCAGGGCATTAAGTCAGCACTTCTGCATTCTATTTTGGATGTCACTGACTCATTGTTTAACACAGGGGGAGTCCCATTAAACTCTCTCTTCCTCAGTTTACTCAATGGGTGTAAGCTTAGTCCTCATGCAGGGCTCTGAGAACTTCCGGTGCCAGGCAAGTGTAAACTACAAGGGTGTTTCAGAAACTAGCAGCAAAATGGCTGCTCATACCATCTCTCTCCATCAAAGTGGGAAACCACACAGCAGAGGGAAATACAATGGTAGCATTGTCAAATGCACCCGTTGTTTCATGCCGAACATGGATGTGGCACTAGTGAGCATGTAAACAACACGGCTCTGTGGCTGTCAATGTGAAAAAGAACAGAGTTCTGTCACTCATTTTTTGTGGGCCCTAGTGATATTCACCATCGGATTGTGGCGCAGTACAGCAAGAACTGCAAAGCTCAATGGAAGGTCAATAAGTGGGTGGTAAAATTCAAAACACACCTGTACACCCACAGGATGTCCTAACACAGCCATGATAAAGGACAACGTTGCTAAGGTGGATGCCACTGTGCATGTTAACAGGTGGGTGAGCATTCCTGAATTAGTAGTGGAAGCAGGCCTAAGTGCTGACAGTATCCACACCATTTTGCACGGTCACCTGGATTACCAGAAAGTGTGCACCCAGGTCAAAGCAACTGATGGGTGTGCATGAAAAACATGCGAAAGCATGCATCCAGCTTCTGCAACATGTATGGGAAGAAAGTGAGGGGTGCCACCTCCACGCTGTCACCAGGGACAAGACTTGGGTCCATCTTTATGATCCTGAGAGCAAATGACAAGAGTATGCAGTGAAAAGGCACAGTGTCACCACCACCTAAAATATTCCACCTTCGGCCATCCTCTGGTACCTCAGCCAGCCTCATTCCATTTGGGGATTGCACAGGATTACTCCTCGTCTGCTTCATGAAGCATGAGGTCAAGAACCTTTTGCCACATTGTCCAAAACCACCTGAAACCAGCTGCTCAGACCAAAGGCCATGGAAACCTCAAGCAAAGTGTTCTTCAGTGCAACAGTGCAAAGTCACACAGTGTATAGGCAACTGTTGCGACTTCACATGGACTGGACTTTCAAATCTTACCACATCCACCCCGATCTTTCATCAGCTGTTTTGGACAGCTGAAGGCGGCATGGATTTGGCAGTAATACAGAGGTGCAACCCGTGGTGCTGGCACAGTTGTCACAGAAGCCAAAATGCTTCTTTGAGGATGGTATCAAGTGACTTGTGAATCACTGGAATACCTGCGTTGCAAAGCAGGGCAACTATGCCGCGAAGTGACTTGGCGCAGTAAGCAATCAATCACTGTGCAGAACTGCTGTTAGCGTCTGAAACACCCTTGTACTACTGTAGGTTTGCACAGATTTAGTTTCCCTAAAGTTGTTCCATACAAGGACCCAAAACATCCAGTGCTGAAATCAAGAAGTTACAGAACAGCTTTCAAGGTCAGTCTCTAGACTCCAGATTCTCAATATCAGGGCTTTCACCTCCTAAACACCTCCTGAGTCTAAGTTATTCTTAGATGCCCAGCCCTCTCCATAAGTTTGATCTACAGTTCCTGCAAGCCATAAAATACTCCCAGAGATGTTGGATGAGAAACCTTACAAGCTTCCCAGCACCGTCAATGGGGCAAGCTTGCATCGTACACTCCAGAACTCCAAGACACGCTCTAAGACTGAGGAAGAAGAGGGGGAGACGTAGGCCGACTCCAACGTCAAATCGAAGTCTACTTACTTTCTTCAGCAGGGAGTTCTGCATATTTCCATCGATGGTCCGAAGAAAACATGGAAGGGGAGAAAAAGAAAAGAGATTTATTAGTGGTCTGGGAACAGGTAGGCACCAAATTCATCACCAGAAACAAACCGTTTGTGCAATCGAACCAGAAGGTGTTGTTAAAGCCACATATTCCTATTTACTAACAAAACATCTAGTCTCAAGGACTTTGAAAGGCGGTACAGAAAATAAAAAGCCTCTATGTACACCAAGAGATGCTCTAACAAATCTCAAGGAAGAGAGATAACAGAATTATAGAAAGTTAGGGTTGGAAGGAAACTCAGGAGGTCACATCTAGTCCAACCCCCTGCTCAAAGCGAGACCATTCCCAACCAGATCATCCCAGCCAAGGGTTTGTCTAGCCAGGTCTTAAAAACCTCCAAGAAGGGAGATTCCACCACCTCTTCGGGTAACCTGTTCGGGGCTTTACTACCCACCTGGGGAGAAAGTTTTGCCTAATATCCACTCTAAACTTCACTTGCTACAACTTAAGACCATTGGTGCTCATTCTGTTATCTGCCACCACTAGGAATAGTGTAGCTCAGGGGTCACCAGCCCCTGACACATGAGCCACAGCTGGACTCGCAAGGCCATTCTGCTCGGCACACCACAAGTGGCCTGGGCTGTAAGCAGCTGCCACCACCCACAGAGCCCAGGCTGCTCACAGCAGGTGGCAAGGAGGCTGCAAACCCTGCTCGCAGCAGCTCGGGCTCTGTGAGAGGCAGCAGTTGCCCAGAGCCCCGGCTGGGTGTGGCAGGCAGGCATGAGCCTGCAAGCAGCTGTACCAGGGTCCAAAGTCCCAGCCCAGCTCACTGCCATGCACGCCTCAGGGAGTACTGCAGGGAAGTGCCTGTGACTGCACCCCACCACCAGAAGCTGCACGCCCACAAAGCCTGGCATCCCCACAGGAGGCAGGGGGGGCAAGAGTTGGCATGTCCCTATTCCTGTCCCCAGCTGCAAAAGGGCAGGGCAAGCTGCATGAGCACAGCGACCATGCACAGGAGGGCTCTAGCCAGGCAGCTTCAGGCCCTGCCACCCCCGTCTGCATCTCCTCTCCCTGCAAAGTTCGTTCATGAAGCAGCTGAGGGAGCAGTACCCCAGAGGGAGCTGAATGAGCCGAGGCCACGGGGACAGGGCAGGGCAGCCCTTGGCCTGGAGAAGATGCTCACAGGCAGCAGCGGTGCTGCAGGGGTGGCTGCCCCAGGCAGTCTCAGGGGGCTCCTCCTCCCATGCCCAAGTGCCAGCGGGCCGGCTGAGCCGTGCTACCGACCCCCACTCTCACTGTGCTGAGCTGGGAGCTGAAGCGCTGCTGCAGGGTAGCATAAGCCTTGGCCGAGGCCCTTGTTATCATCACAGCCTAGGGGGTCCCGGCAGGGGCTGCACTGTCCCTGCACCTGCAGCCAGCACCCAGTTTGCAGCCGGAAAGGGCCCATCCCGGCCCCTTCCTCGCCACACTCAAGGTGTGCATGTAGCCGTCACTAGCAACAAGCAGGGCCAGGGCTCCAGACCTAATGCAGCTACTTGCAGGCTGCCTGCTGCAAACAGCTTGGGCTTCATGGTGGGTGGTAGTGGTGTGCCCAGAGCCCAGTCTGCTTACAGCAGGCAGCCACAAGCTTGCAAGCGTCTGCAGCAGGGTCTAGAGCCCCAGCCTGGCTCACGACTGGCAGCAGCGGCACACATGCCTTGGGGAGCATGGCAGGGAAGGGGCCGAGGCAGCGCTGCCACGACAAGGATCGGGCCCCCTGTGGCTCCCTCACCATCCACCCCAGCATGCCAACATCTTTGAAGGCCGGGGGGGGGGGGGGGGGGGG